AATTATTCTTGCACTAAATTGACTTTCTACTACGTTTTATCCTCTTATAGGTCCATATTTCCCACCACTGACCAAAAGTTTAAGTCTGGGCAGATGAAAAAATGATCTGGTGACATTTTGAAATGTTGACTTTGACTTCCTAGCAGAGGATACCTCAGTAGCCAAACTTTCTGCTCCCTGACCACTCTTCATCCTGAATATGCTGGAGCCTCTTCCCACTATATCACCAATGGCTAATCTTCTGTTCCACAACTGGTTCAAAAACTACCATAAAAAAAATTGTCATTAAAAAAATGGGGGTCTGAGGCCCATTCTAGATTTGAGAGGTGTGAACCACTACATCTGTCTGTGATGTTTCCGGGTGGTGACTGAACTCTATCCTTGCTTTAATGCAGTAGGGAAAATGGCACACCACTCTGGACCTGGAAGATATCTACTTTCATATTTTGATTTGACTTTCCCACAGATGTTTCCTGGCTTCATGATAGGAAAGAAGGCTTACAGATTTTAAGTCCTACATTTTAGCCTTAGTACAGCTCCCCACACCTTTCCAAAGGTGATAACAGTGATGGTTGCTTTTTTTCAGCAGCAAGGGGTTGTCCTGTACCCTCCCTCTGCACATAGATGACTGGCTGGTCATCACCTCCTCCAAAGTACTACTAATAAGAGATACAGAGACAGTCCTGGCTTCCTGGAAAACCTGGGACTTTGCATCAAAAGAGAAAAGTCCCATCTTCAGCCAACACAATGGATATAGTTCATTAACACAATCTTGGACTCTAGAGTTCAAGCCACTCTCCTTCCCTCTGACCAATTTGACAATCTTTGCAGATCCATCCAGAGCTGCCTTCAAGTATAGATGCCTCAGGACTTCACAAGTTCAGGTCATGTTTGCTTACTTGGTATCTACCACATTAGTAACCCCAAATGTCTGTCTTTGGATGTGACTTCTTCAGGCCTGGTTCATCTCTGCATGTAACCCACTTCAGGACTCTCCAATAGCTCACTGAACCAAGGTCTGTACAAAAGGCTCTTCTCTGCTGTCTAGACCCATCCAAAGTTCTGATCAGCATGTCCTTCTCAATTTCCCAACAACAGGCTCTTGTCTTGATGGATGCATCGATGATGGGCTGGGGAATGCATCTCAACAACTACATAGTACAGGGTCTCTTGTCTTGGAGGAAAGGAGCCTTCACATCAGTGGTCTAGAACTGCCAGCCATGGAAAAGGCATTCTCTTCTTTGAAATTCTGCTAATTGGCAAGATGTTGATTGAGTCCCTATATTGGGAGTAAGGTGGGATATAATACTAATACTAATACTAATAGCTTTGAAACTGGTGCATCCAGAGAGGCTTCTCAGTAGTTTCTGGAGAAGAGAATGTTCTTGCAGATGCCCTCTATCAAGATCGAGTGAGCTGCATCCTCATCATGCCATGGTGACCCAGGCAGCCCTGGTTTGTTCCTCTTCTCCATTTGTCCTGAGGAGAGTATGTTCAACTTGCACACACCAGATTTCCTCACCCTGTATAAAGTTTGTGTCAGGAACCTTGATCTTGACACACTCTGTCTGTCAACATGGAGAATCCTGCCCTAGCTACCTTACCAGAAACAGTCAAGGAAGCTACTGAAACTGCCCATCACCTGATGACCAGGTGATCATACTATTAATAGTGGAAAAAGTTTGTCAACTTTCCATATCTACTGGCTGTTGATGTTACTAATGCTTCTATTGGTCACATTTTCAACTTTCTACTCTTCCTTTCATCTTGTGGTTTGTCTCTGTCCTTGATTTGTTGTTAGCTGGCTGTCATGTTGGCATATTGTTGGGCAAGCTTTCTTGTTTTGTAATCTCTCTTGTTAAAAAGTTTCTACAAGCATTTTCATCTCCCGTGTCAGTCCCAACACCAAGGTGGGGTACTGGACCCAGTGCTTGATCAGCTCTGTGGGAGACTATTTGAGCCGATGTCTCTCACTGTTGTTGTGCAAAACTGCCTTTTTGGTTGCCATTGTGACTGCTAGGTGAATGGTCAACCTGTACTTGTGATTCCATCCAGACAGAGTTGTTTTAAGGCCTGACATCACCTTTTTGCCAAAGGTTGCACCCTACTTGCATTTAATCAGGACATTGTATTGCTTTCCCTGTTTCAGAATCCTACCTGAGACTGTGAAAAGCATTTGCACTGCTTTGATGCATGGAGGGTGTATCTCTCCTAGAATGTTTTTTTTTTTTTTGGCTACTTGGCATTGAGGAAGGGACTGCCCATCTCTTTGTAATGCTTTTGGAAGTGGGTAGCTTTGACCGTCCCTGGTTTGAAAGAACCCTCTGGCTTGCATTCAAGTCCATTCCAAGAGGACGGTTGCTGCCTCCTGTGCTTTCCTGGCTGGTGTCTTGATTGGGGACAATTACCATGCGGCTGCTTGGTCCCAGCCTGAGACTTTTATTTTGCACTACAGAGTGGACTTGAGGTCTTGAGCTGATACTGGTTTTGGGAAAGCTGTACTTTCATGGATGTACTGTTGAATTTTCATACTGTGTTGCTGAATGCCTTTGAATCTAGCCTTATTTCAGTACTGTGTTTACAGTTTCAGGGGTGTCCTCCCTTTAAAACTGTGTTGATACTATCATATTGTTATATGTTATATTTAGACATGGGGCTGTTGTGTTGATGCTTGTATGATTGT